GGCAGCTCCTCTCCTTTTTCTGTCTGTGCCAAGTCTGATTTGCTGTGAGAAGAATACGTGATGTCTAAACTGATGGATTTTAAAATGTCGCTTGGTCTGTGGATTAGGCCAATCCATCCCACATTGTTGGGGCTGCAGATGCAGTTGAATGGTTCATAATTATAGCCTAAGAGACTGCAGACAGCAATAGAGCCAAGCCAGACCCCCTTCCTCCTCATAGCCCATGCCAAGCTGTCTCCCACAGGGAATGAGGGTGCTTAGTCTGCAATGTACTTGCCCAAGACGGCACAGAATCTTGCTGGATTTCTGGAAACAGTGCCTGGTTACCTACCTGTTCTGATGCACACAGGATGGGGCTCTGTGTGGCAAGGGTAAGCTCATTTTTCTTCTCTGGTAAGAGGGCTGTACTTAGGAGACACTGCCAGACCCCCATCTCAGACCACGGGCTGATGCCTCCATTCTGAGCTATAACAGTACCTTTCTGCTCACTTTCAGAACAAATACAAATCCACAGCTTTTCTTCCTCAGTTGGTGCCGGTGTTTCTCAAGCAAGGCCAGGCAGTTCTCTGGTTAAGAATCATGGAAGTGTATTGGGTTTTACAATTCAACATGACAGTTGTCTGAACTCTCCCTGGTGACAGTTCAGTTAACCGAGGATCTAATCTCCTCTACAGAGATGTCCAGGGAGAAAGATTTAAAGCAATTCTCCCTTACTCTGGACCCTAAAGACAACAATAATCCTTTGAAGTTAATTGAACACTTTCCTACCCTAGACATTCTGCTAAAGCTTTGCATCCATAGCCTCATTTAATCATACAGATAATCTTAAAATGTGGGCATTATTATTTTCCCTCCTTCAAACATGGGGAACCTGAGTTTCAGGATTAAGTGATTTGCTCAAGATAATTTGGCAGATTAAGCTGGTTAAGTTAAAAATCTGAATTTCACTTCTGAACCCATACTGCTCCCTATCTCTGTTTACTACAGAGTTTCCTGGGCCAAATAGGCCCTCAAATCCTCCCCACCCTCCTCCCTTTCTCCCCTGCAACTGCAGCTCTCTTATGGTCCATTGTTTATTGTACTCTTTGAACAATAGCTAATGACTCTGTATTACATGCTAGGAAGATCCAGGGGTGGTTTTATTCCCTGAAGCAGAGATGAGGTTGTGACACCAAGAAGGTTAAGTGGCTTTGGTGAGGTCACAGAGCCAGCCTGCAGTCAGCCACACCACCTTCTGAGTTCCTGGCTTAGTTCCTAAACTTACCCTAAGGCCTTTTGGAATTACAGTTTAATTAATAGTTATTTTAATTTCTTCCTTTTCTCCAACTTCCCATTTTATTGGTGCTTAATGGTAGATATCGAAGCCTGAGGCTTTTTTTTCCCCCCTCTGTGTTTTGCACCCAATAGACAGAAACTGCTTGGTACAGAGTTAAGTTTCTGATGTGTTTTTCAGGGTATGACAGAGCCTGTTGGCTTTTCTCAGACTGAAAGGAGACCACAAGTGCAGCTTAGACAGGTTGCTAACTGAGAACTTTGAGAGCTTGTTTAAAAAAAAAAAAGAAAAAAAGAACAACAACTTACATTTATACCAGTAAGTCAGCATCTGTGAGTCATGAACTCGTTAGGATCAGTCGTTAGTGGTCTGGATGTTTTTCTGCTCCCTTCAGTGGGACCTGCTTTTAAAGGTTCAGAATGCAGAGAATTCTAGCATACTTCTGCAGAGGAAGGTTCTAGCTCCCACAGTTCTTTGAAATTAAGTGCATTTTTACATACTTACTGAATGTGGAGCAGGATTGAGGGAAGAACAAAGGGAAATTATTATTTCTTGTTATATGCTCCTTGTGGTGAGGAACTTCCTGTATACAGGTGACTCCTGTCTTGATGCCATTCATGTTGGCCTAGATATCCCTTTCCTCCAGAGTCCCAACCCTTGACCAGATGTAATTAGCTAGAGTCTAAGGATTTTTAAAGATACAAATTTGTTTTCTCCTCAGTAGGAAGCCAACTCAAAAGAAACATTACTCACTGCTCCCCTGCCCATTCCCCCCCCCCTCCAAGTGCCTTAATGACCATCAGTCTTGCAATAGTATCATCAGGTATAAGAAGGCTGAACTTGTGTTTGGCTGATAGGTAAGCTGAAACACATGTGAACCAAAGTGGGCAAAGTTGGGGATAGAATCCTGTTTTGCCACAAGGAGCAAAGGGAAGCTCTCAGGGTCGAGTTACTGAAACCATCTAGGTCATTTTCACAAGCAGTGTTAATGCAGAAGCCCAGAGTGACCAGAAAGCTGATAATTTTTCACTCAACAAATATTTTTTAACTTTAATTTTATTTTTAAAACCTTCTTGTTTTACATACCAATCCCAGCTCTCTCTCTCTCCCTCTTGTCTTCCACTTTCCCCACCTTCTCCCCAACCCATCCCCCATTCACTCCTCAGAGAGGGTGAGGCCTCCCATGGGGAATCATCAAAGTCTGTCACTTCACTGGGGGCAGGATCAAGGCCCTCCTCCCTGTATCCAGGCTGAGCAAGGTATCCCTCAGTAGGGAATGGGTTCCAGAAAGCCAGTTCATGCACTAGGAATAAATCCTGAGCCAACTGCCAGTGTCCCATAAAGTGCTTGGGGCAAAGCATATGTTTCCTGATAAGTAAAATGTAGTAATGTTTTTTAAACTCCTTAAGAATGTTTGGGAAAAAATCTACTTGTGTTAGAAGGAGAATAAAAATTCCATTTGTCAAACATTAATTGAATTTCTGTCCTGTTTGGATTATTGATGTCCCAAACATGTAAAAATATCTTAACTGGTTCTCTCTCAGTGCTTCTCATCCTACAGGAAGTTTCAACCAGATCCAGGGCTCTTCGCAGGACTTGTGATGTTGGAGACATTTGCCATCAGTATCATACCAACCCCACTTTCTGATCTGGACATTAGAACATTTTGAGCTTCCACACTTCTGGACAGGGTTAGGAACAGGGAGATCAACAGGTTGACGGGCACTGTGGAAGGATTACAAAGAACATATTCCATTGTTTCCAGGGTAGAAACATGGGCTTCTCTAAGTGTCTCACATGCACAAGTGTTAAGCAATAGTGTAACTAGACACTAGTTTAGTGGAGGAAGAGACCTGGGGGAGGGGGGAGCAAGGAGGGATCCTGAGAAAGCTACTTTTGCAAATAGAGTAAAACTCTCCAGCATTTTCATAAGACTGAAGCAACAAAATGAAATTCACCAAAGAAACTTGTTAGCTTGTTCAGTTTCCTTGCTGCAATTTGGGCGTGTGAATGTACAATCCATTATAATCCATTCATCAGTGGGTTCCCTAAGCTTTTCCCAGGATCCGAAGTGTCTGTTCTCGTCATCTGGAGGCCAGCATTGCTTTCTCATACCTTGCAGAAACACAGCTGGACTGTAACAGTCTTTGTTCTTTCAAAAAAGAAAATGAGGATTATCATATATGCATATTTTTTTCCTCTGGTGACCAAAGAAGGGTGGAGCCTGGAAGTTGGACCAGGATCCAGAGATTGACACTCTATTGCTCTTTCTCTCCCCTCCCCCCACCATTTGCTTTGGGAATCCTGTACACTGCTAAAGCCCAAGGGGTGGGGGTGGGTGTTTAGATGAAAGTTAGCAGGTGTGATGAAGTTTACTAGAGCAGAAGTTACAGTTGCAGGCAAGTGGTGGGAGTTCATCACATGCTTAGAAATCAGGAAACAGTACTAAGAATAGCTTTCCCTGAGGTTGCTCAGGAAGATTTATGTTGTCTTTTAATCAAAATGCCTTGCTCCACATGCACTACCACGGCCTGGATGATTTGTTAATGAGTACCAACTACCTTGATGTATGATAGCTAATTATCAGTGGCAAATTATGGGTTAGCCTGGCTCGCCTTTTTATCTGGAGTGTTGGCAGTTCCCAGCTATGACAAGGATGTGCACTGTGGTTCTGTGGGCTGGGGATGAACTTAGAGACTCACACCAGTGTGCTGGGGGATGTGGTGATAGAGAAAAGGATGTTGGAAGTTTTCTGATAGAGCAGAGTGTGAAAGACAAAGCGTCAGCCAAGGTGACACAGTTAGAGAAACAGAATAATTAGGAACACTGTTAAGGGTTCTAGACTCCCCGGTTTGATAGAGGGGCTTCGGAGCTTGGGTTTTGGGAGGTCTCTGATAGGCTTGGTTCTGAGCTAGTGACGTTGATTATGGGTTCCTGCTCACCAATGCTGCCCTTGTCACTTAAACCATTTCAAGGGTGGGATTCTGAGTCATATCTCAGCTGAAGCCGTCCCAGAACACCCGCAGTGGAATCCCCCGCACGCGCCCCCTCGGTGCGCACCCAAGCAAGCCTCACGTCCTGTGTGTCAAGCTTTGTGAATGAATATGATGTACACGCACTTGGAAAACTATGCTGCTACCGGAGCGGGCCGCAGCGGTGACCAAGCCCTCAAGAATGCGTGCACAATCAGACGGACTTTCCCGAGACCGTGGCAGCAGCCCCTGCACGCCAGCGACCCGCGCCAGCCTTCCTCGCCAGCGGTGGCCTGAGGCCCTAGCCCTGCGGGCAGAATAGCTGGGGCTGAGCTGCGAGGCCCGGCGCACCCGCCCTTCCTTTCGCTTTTGGGACCTAGGAGATGATTGGCTGTG